GTCCTTTTGCTATAAATGGATCTGTGGTCAAAGACCTGTGGTGTAATAAAAAACTATTTGATCTTTGTTCCCAGTTCCTAACACAGAGCTCCTAAGACCTTTGAAATCTCCTGAGTGAGAAGACTGTCTCTGGGGTGCCAATGAGATGACGCTTGGCAGAGGGTCCTAGAGAGCTTTGGGATGGGGACTGCTCAGCAAAAATACCAGCCATGATTAGAAGGTTGCATCTTTCAGCCTCACTCCCTGACCTCGGGGGAGAGGAGCTGGAGGTTGAATTCAATCACCAATGACCAATCGCTTAATCAATCATGCCTACATCATGGAACTTCCACTAAAAACAAACAAACAAAAAAACCCTAAATCAACAGAATTCAGAGAGCTTCCGAATTGGGCAACACATCAATATGCTGGGAGGGTGACACACTCCAACTCAGTGACAGAGGATCCTGCATTTGGGACCCTTCCCGACCTCGCCCTACAGACCTCCATCTGGTTGCTCACTTGTATCCTTTATGATCAACTGTAACACTAAGCTTAGCATTTACCAGAGTTCTATTGAGTTGTTCTAGCAAATTATTGAACTTGAAATGGGGAACCCCCATTTACTACCCAAGTCAGACAGGAGTGCAGGTAACATGGGGACCTGAAACTTATGACTTGTGTCCTAAGTGAGGGCAGTCTGTGGGATGGAGCCTGTAACCTGTAGGGTCTGATGCTGACTACAGGTAGTGGCAGGATTCCCTGATTGTAGGACACCCAGGTGATGTCAGAGCATCAGAGAATTGGTTGCATGAAGGGGAAAAACCTTCACCATCCCACAAAGAAATTCACACTGAGTAGGCAAGTAAGCCTCTACCTTGGATATCATTTATTAGTCCCTGTTCTTCCAGCCAAACCTGAGTGTCTACAAAACACCAGAGAAAGTTCCAGTCTCAGATCTTTGCTTTAAGAATTGAAATTAGTCATTCTTTTTCCATCCCTCACCCCCAGCACCTGAACTCTCTTCCTACATTAGAAAACTTCCACACATAGAGTCTTGGTGGGAGGCAGGGGCCACTTTACTCCATAAAACAGGTAAACCCACTGTCCCCAACACTCTTGCAGCTGGACACGGCATGAAGCTCCACCATCAGGTGACCAGATGCCAGACTCTGACTCAGGACGCGGTGACACACAGGCTGGAACTGTGCAGAACGCATTTGGCAGTAACACCACCAGTTGTCAGGAGCAGCAGTGACAGCAGTCATGGCTGCAGGGACTGGTGTCCATATGGATGTCAGTGGTGTGGGCAGTGACACGTGTTCCCAGCAGCAGGGGCAGTGGGTCCCACATGGGACCCAACCTGCAGGGATTGTGGATTAGTCCATGGCTGTGTGGCCTCAAGCCTGTTCTGTGGTTTCCCCAAAATAGTATTAGACCCCCAATGTCATAAATAGATGATAGATGATAGATAGATGATAGATAGATAGATAGACTTTATATCTAAATTAGAAAAAATTGGATTCCATTGTTGGCTTGAGAAATCAATCTGGGGAATAGTTTCAGGAGAGAGCATTCACATATGTTATTATACTGACCTGTGACCCACTCCTAAATCTTCTATCTGACTCTACCCCATGGTAGAAAGAACAACATGTAACTCACAACATCATATCTCATAACTGACAATATATGTCCTCCCCTTTCTGAGGAAAAGAACACCTTTAAAAGTGTATTTAAGACCATTCCCCACCCTGAGCTCTGATCACTGACCTCAGAGGCTCCCAAGTTGGCTGAACCCCAGGACAGCTTGTGGGCTTACAGACACTCAGGCCTCTCCCAGACCCACCATCTCAGAGAATGAGGCACAAGACCATGAATCGCTTATGTAACAAGCCCTGCAGGTGAGGCTGACTCACAGCCCTGTGGGAATCCTGGTGACGGTCTTGCTACTAAAAGTTTGATCTGAAAACCAGCAGCTGCACCAACCTCATTATAAATCCAGGACCTCTGCTCTGCTCCAGACTTTCTGGGTCTTAACAAGATGTCCAGGTGATTCCTGTGCCCAGGGAAGTTTGGGTCTCTCTGGTCTACGTGCCTTATTGACATGGGGCCAAACTGTGCCATCTACTCGGGTGTGTAGTCTGATCAGATCCCAGCACTGGGGGCCCAGGGTTCAGTCCTGTTCCTTTCTCTTCTACAGTCATCGCTCCCTTGGGGACCTCATCTGTGCTCAAGGCTTTAATATCATTTATATGTGTCACCTCCCAAGTCTATTTCTCCAGCCCAGACATTTCCCCTAATTCCTAGACTCATCTGCCCAACTGCCAGTGCGATGACCTCACTGTATTTCTAACAGGCATCTCAGCTCCAACATCTCTTAATGAACGTCTGTGACACCCCCACCCCTCAGATCTGCTCCTTCCAGACTCTTCCCCAGCTCTGCTGACAGCAACTCCATCTTTCTACTTGTGCCCTCTGAGATTGTGGGGTCCTTGACTCTCATGTCACAGACTGACCCATTAGGAAACACTGTGATGTCCACCTCTGAACGTACCCTGAACCCCACTCCCACTATTTCCCCCGCTCACCCCCAGGGGCAGCAGGTCCAGCCCGGAACCCTGCAGATTCTTCCGGCTCCCGGCGGCCTCCCTCACCCCAAGTCTGTTCTCAGCACCGCAGCCCCAGCGGTCCTCTGAAAGGAGATCACACCATGTCCCCTTCTGCTCCTAACCATCCTGTAACCCCCACCTCATTTTGAGCACAGGTAACAGTCGTCTAACATCCTCCCGGCCACCTGGTCTGGCCGTACCCGTCTCTTCTCCATCACTCTCTGCTGCAGCCACACCGGCCTCCCTGCTCTTCCCAGAAACCAGACACACTCCTGTCCCAGGGCCTTCCCACTGCAGCTTCCCTGCCTGGAAAGAACTTGCTCAGACGTCCCGGTGGGTAATTCCTCATGTCCTTCACGTCTTCCCTCAAGGTCGGCTTCCCAGTGAGGCCCGCTGACCACCCCGATCAACACGGCCGTCTTCCCTGTCCCCACACCCCACACTCTGCATCCCCTTCCCCACTGCGTTTCTCCCGGAACCTTATCTCCTTCTGACAGAATCACCTTCCTCGTTTACTGTGCTTATAGGATATAGTCTGTCTCTTCCCACTGGGACAGACGCTCCCCAAGGCCAGCCATGTTTCTGACTTTACTTCAGTGACGTTTCCCAGATGCAGAAACTGTCATACATCTGGCACACAGCCAACGACAGTGAGTGATCAGTGACAGCGCCTCCCTGTTCTAGAGACAATGTCTTTATTAATGTAGCCTCGGGTCACAGGCTGTTTTGTGGCAGCTACAGCACAAAGTCCCTTCATGCTGGCATCAGTGCCAGCTCCACTTCTATCACGGGTGCTGCTCTCCTCCCTCCCCCCTTCTTTCTCCCACACCTGCCCTCCTGCACACCGCAGCACAGTTATATTTCCCTTCTCAGAAAACAGACAGCCTTGACTTACGGCTCCTGTTTTCCAACCAAATATAAACCTCAAGTAGACTCTGCTTCATAAACCCCCGTGTTTGGACTGGAGCCAGCACTAGAGCTCAGGGCAGGGAGAGAGGGCGGCCGAGCAGAGCAGAATTCCAGCAGGAACTTATCTAAGATGAGAAATTATGGGATCCCTCCTCTGCTGATTCCAGAATCTGATTCCTCTGATAGTTTGGGAAAAGATGGAAAGAACCATCAAGCCCTAGGAGGCAAGAGCTGGATGAGCTTGAAAATTCATCTCTCAATCCACAGACTCCTGTGTGCAGGGTCCCGCTGGGCCTTGTGGGGACAATGACAGGCAAAACATCTCCTGCTGCTGACAGAGAGGGGACACCCAGAGGAGAATGAGATCAGGACTCATAATAAGAACAAAAATAGTCATATTCCTCTGCAGAAACAACAAATGAACACCCAAAACATGGGGGCCTGGTCTGACCCGGCCACACGAAGCCCTCACTGACAAGACCAGACCTGCGTGATGTTCAAGTCCCTGTGATCACAGGTCTTGGTGGGAGAAGGTTCTACTGAAAGGACAAGGACAAAGAAGCAGAGAGGTCACCCAGCCGAGGAGTGACCACGTCGATGCCCACAATGCCCTGAGCATTGAATGGGCTCAGTCCGCGTCCACACTTGGTCCTCACAGCCTCTCCTTTCTCCACCTGCAATAGACTCAGCATAGCCAACATATGGATTCTGGGAGGTTCTCAGTGCTTCAATTTATTTCCTCTGAAACCTTAGGATTTTCTCCTTCAATTAACCCATCAACCCTTCATCAAGAACTGAAAAAACAAATCCATATCCAGATGCTTATTTCAATACGAAGGAAGAAGTTGCTGCTCTGTGTAACACAAAGTAAAAGTGGGGATGGAAACAGCCTCTGCTGGAACAGGACAGTGGGTCAGGGAAGAGACTCAGTGTTGAGATGGGGCATGGAGGGCAGGGGGCGGGCAGTCTCCCACCTCCTCATAGGATGCTGAGAGGAACGCAGACATATTCAGATATCCTTTGCAGAAAGAGAGATCAGAGGTTCCTGAAGTCACAAAGTGGCGGGGTGGGGTGTGGGGGGGGCATGAACAAATCTTGCATCACTCAGTCCCCCACAAGGCAGCTGTCTCATGCTGCAGAAGATAATCATGAACAAATTCAGGTTAGTGGCTTGTTTCTAGAGAAGTTGCTAGAACTGTGACTACAGACCCACGGCAGGATCAGGAAACCTGATTAAAGTACACGTGTGGGGACTGGATCAACCACCCTCCTGGAGGTCTGTCCTCAGCAGGGCCCTTCCATTCTGACCTGTGACTATTGAGAATCAGGTCCCCAACACCAGAATCATCAAGGTGATAAATCTGTCCCTCATTTTCACACGTGCATTAATAAAGAGTAACTGTTAGCAAACAGGACCCCAACTGGGAAAGCTCATGTGTGTGGATGGTCCTTCCCACTAATAGGCAGGACACACTTGTACCTGAGGCTTGAAACCCCCCAGTGAGACAAGACAACTCAGTCCCCGCCCTTCCTACCTGAGCGCCTCCTCCTCCACAGAACAGCTCCAGCCACCACAGCCCCAGTGACCACAGCTCCAAGGAGGACCAGCACAGCAATGATGCCCACAGGGATGGCGGCCTGAGGAGGCGGCTCTGGAAGGGAAGGGAAGGTGAGGGCCCTGACCCCCAGGCCTCAGCCCCGACCTGAAGTCCTCCAGGGGCCCCTGCTTTCCCTGAGAAGAGGCTCTGTGCTCACGGCCCCCTCCATACCCCATCTCAGGGTCAGGGGCTCGGGCAGCCCCTCGTGCTGCACATGGCACGTGTAGCTCTGATCCTCTCCAGGAGGCACCGCCACAGCTGCCCACTTCTGGAAGTGCCCGTCCCCTGCAGGCCTGGTTTCCACGAGCTCCGTGTCCTGGGTCAGGTCCTCCCCATCACGCTGCCAGGTCAGGGTGATCTCCGCAGGGTAGAAGCCCAGCGCCCAGCACCTCAGGGTGACCTCACGGTCAGAGGTGGGGTGGTGGGTCACGTGTGCCTTTGGAGGATCTGAGGAGAAGGGTCAGGAAATTCAGGACCTTTGCATCCCTCGTGGGACCCTCCAGCAGTGCTCAGGTGACCATCCTGAAAATGGTCAGGAAACTGGGGTGGGGGACGGGAGCACAAAACCCACACACCACACTGGACACAGACATCCGGGATAATCTCTATTCTATAGAAAGTTCTAGAATCAGGGTGAGACAGCCGAGTTTCAGAGACAGGTCTCTGATGGAGAGAAAAGGGATTCCTGGTCCTGACCTGGGTGGAGGCCAAATGACTCAGAACACCTGGGGTCAGACCTCACTCAGTCACACTGTGTGTGGGGCAGCGAACAAGGCCTGAGAGAGAAAGTCCCCCAGGTTCCCAGGCAGCTGCCGGGGCCAAAGGGAACCGCTGATCAGGTGTTTCTGAG